CTAGAAAATTTGAATTATTTTTCGTTTCTTTAATAAACAGTTGGAATTCCTTTTTTGTGAATTGGGTATTTAATTCCTTTACTCATCCTGCCTTTGGTTTCAATACAACAGAAACCAATTGTTAAATAAATTCTGTCACAGGAAGCTCACAACTAAGCACAAGACTAAATCATCCTCCACTACCCTAAGAGGTCAGATGCTGACAGATGAGGATATAAAAGAGGGGAACCAGAACAGTTCTCAATTTTGCAGCGAATCTCAAGTAATCCTAGACATTCTTACCCAAGTTGGGAACAAGAAGCACAGATTTGAAAATATTCAGCACCAAAACTACGGCCGTCTTGTCAGGCTTCCTAGGTATCTTCACCTAGAAGTCTTATACAGCACTGACAGAGGAGAAAAATTGTTAAGTGTCAGGAGCACTGCTAGGCTTCAGGGACCTCATCATCCTCTGTGAAAACAAGTGAGAGATAAGAGATCACCTCTTCCTCATCTCCAACCTCACCAAGAGAACTGAGATTGGAATACAGCCTTTGCCTTAGGCAGGAGAAAGCAGATGGAAGTCACTCTCTTTACTGCATTTTGGCCCAGAAAATCCCGTCTGACCTTCCTTACATTGTTGCCTCCTACTTGCCTGCCTCTGCTAGACCAGTACATGGCATGGCTTTTCTTTGCTTACTAAGGTGGCCACCAATGCTTCTACATTAGTTCTCCTTCGTCAAGGCAATGGGTTCCAGACGTTTGTTGTGTATGAAATCCTGCAGAAAGCACATATGCTGTTCTATCACCTCCAAATAACCTGTCTTGTGCACTGTGACACTGCTACTACTAGAAGCGAAAATTCTATGGTTCCAGAACAAGTTAAACTAGCCTGTACCGCCCTCTGAGGGACATGGACACAAGATGAGGGAACACAAGTCCTGCCCTGGACCCTGGGAGGTTTCCTCAACCAAAGCCCCACCCAACAACTTCCTGTGCCTGGTCTGTATTCTGCCCCTCGATTACAATCGCTGATACCTGGTCATCCCCTTTGTCATACCAGCATTAATCCTGTATCCAGAGATCCCAGATTAACTCAAGAGAAGCCAGAGAGGTACAGTTCCAGGCCAGGGCCTACTCAGCCTCTCCACTGAAGGACCCTTCTAAATCGAAAGTCCTCACAGGAATGAAGCAATATGGCATGTTGTGTTTGAAAACTGTTTCCGCACGATGGCAGTAGTGCTCCATATATGATAACAACTTGCGCTCCCTTGGTTCTCTTCTCCCGCCCTTCCTGTCTGAAAAAACGCCATCAAGATATAGGAGTACCAGAAAATATGGTAGCCTTCCATTTTGCCCAGCTTCAGGAAACTTCATCAGGCTGCTGCAATTTTGCCTTTGGTTTCCATCTAAAACGTAAAGGGGCCCTAAGTTGACCACTCTTATCGGGCCTATTCTTTATTTAAGAAATAAATTTCGGCCTGGCCCAGTGGCTTACCCCTGTAATCCTAGCACTCTAGGAGGCTAAGGCAGGCAATTGCTCCAGGTCAAGAGTTGGAAACCAGCCTGAGCAAGAGCAAGACCCCATCTCTACTATAAATAGATATAAAATAATTGGACAACTAATATATATATGTAGAAAAATTAGCCAGGAATAGTGGTATATCCCTGTCGTCCCAGCCACTTGGTAGGCTGACTCAGAAGGATTGCTTGAGCCCAGGAGCTTCAGGTTGCTATGAGTTAGGCTGAAGCCAAGGAACTCACTCTATCCTGTACAAAAAAGGGAGACTCTGT